TCATTTTCCTGAATGCTTGGGATCAATTAAAGCTCTTTGTTTCACTGATATCATTTGACTCAAAAGGCCTCACCTCCTGCAGGAGGTGCTGTAGTAGAAGAAGAAAACCAACCTACAGCTGGATGGTGAAGCTGGTGTTGATTGTTTTGATGAGCAAGTCGACATTAGAGAGAGATCTGAGATAACGTCAACGGGCACTAAAAAGTGCCTTCAAAACAAAATTCCCCCTCAGTGTACGGAAATAATGTGCAGTACAGATAAGCAAATGACGCATGTTGTGGTTGTTTAAGAGCAAAGTCAGACTTTGAGGGGAAATAAACTCAAATCAAACTGAATTATAAAGGTGGAAAACCTGTGAAGTCTTATCAGAAAGTGACAGTGTGATATGACCATCTGAGAAAAAAGTCCTGACATTTGAAGAATACAACATACCGGCAGCCTGTGCATCATAAATGATGAGAAAGCATATCTGTTCTTGCGTAGGAAATTTGTAGCCCAGTTTAGCATAAAATAAAAAGAGGAAATAAGTATGAGGGTAGTAGTGCGGTCTCTGTGAGTTTCCTGATTTGCAACAATATCATTAAACTCAGAGGACTCAGCGAATCAAGCAGCTTTTCCACAGGTGAGTCTTGTTTACGCTCAAAACTTTTGTGCTTAAGTTCTAATTTCATGCTTAAGTTGAACGATGATTTGTAGCAGCTTCTTCTTCTATAAACACACAGCTGCCTCAGCACCACAGTTGGCTCCTGCCAGTGTTCAGGCTGCAGATCTATTGATGTCATTACAAATTGGTTATTGTTGTTGTTGTTATGGACAAAGACTTGGGGTGTACTGGTGCCAAATGCACTGATAATCAGCCTCACACTCTTTTATGGCTTTGTTATGAACAATCAGCTAATAGCATTTTCTTGTGTGCGTTGATCACTGTTCACTACCATTCAAATGTTTGGACACCTTCTCATTTAATGTTTTTTCATCTTTCGTCCTGGAAATTGTTTTTAATGCAGTTATGTAGTAAACAAAAAAGTGCGAATCAACTCAAAACACGTTTTATATTTTAGATTCTTGAAAGCAGCCACCCTTTGCTTTGTTGACAGTGCGCGTTTCAAGTATCACTTTTAGCTTGAATATCAAAATATAAATGTATTTTACCAGAAACACCAGAATCTCAGGTTAAAGCTTTCATTTGAACAACCATCAAACAGCTAAAACAGCAAATGACAGCAGGTAAACCGATTCCAAATGAAGCCGTAAACACAAAGCTCACCGACGGCACGCATACAGACCTGCTGCTGGGGCTGAAAGCCAACATCTCACATGTTCTGATTCTGCACATTTTGTCACTCTCCAATCAAAATTCACTGAAACAGCAGAAGAAGGAGATCAAAACTACGCCTCACATTTTATAGACATTTACATTCACAGCATAAACAGTTCCCTCTTACTTTCCCTCTTACCATAAAAATCACACTTCCTGCACAGCTCTCTCTCTCTCGGTGTACTTCACGACCAGTTTCCCATATCTATATCTAAGAAATGTAAACTTTTTAAAACCCTTAGCTGTGTCTCTAATCAAACCTCTGTAACTTTTCTCTGCTTCAGTTCAGCAGCATCACTTACTGTTCATATGCTGATTAATGCTTCCCTTAGTTTTTGTTCTACTCAAGAATATTTTTAAGGTATTTGCTATAAAAAACCAGGCCAGGAAAATTTCCTTCATGTTTTTCTGTGTTTTAGCCTCACTTACACTGACAAAAAGGCATCTGCTGTGATGTTTACACCTGTGATGAAGTCTCACGAGTGTTAGTACTGATAAATGATCAGAATTATAATATTTCTTACTATTTGAGGCAAAATTTCCCTAATTTAAATTGAAACAGATTAAAAACAAATCGATTACAGAAATCAGTGCCGATACCCAGCCCTCCTGCAAACCCTTGACCTTCTCTCGGTGAGATTCATGTTGTAGACACCTGCCGTGGTCTTCACTTCACATTCCTTGTCAGGCTTGTCAAACTTGTCAGTTCGCATGTTCTCCCCGTGTTTGCCTGGGTTCTCTCCAGGTGCTCCGGCTTCCTCTCACAGTCCAAAGACATGCAGTTAGTGGGGATAGGTTAATTGATTAATCCAAATTGCCCATAGGTGTGAATGTGAGTGTAAATGGTTGTCTGTCTCTGTGTGTTAGCCCTGTGACAGACTGGCGACCTGTCCAGGGTGTACCCCGCCTTT